CCTGCAAGGCTGCAACACACCAAAATCTAATAAATTCATACCATAAATTAGTTTTTCTCCATCTTTCATCATACTAAACATTCTAACAGTCTATATACTTACGTGAGGTATGAATTTGATTTTTCTTATAAGTCTATTAAATGGTATCTAATTGTAAATCACGTATTCCTCTCTTAAACTTACATTGTCCTATTATCTAACACGCCATTATAAACATATCATAGTAAACAAATAAGCTTGAATCTCATATATCCAAATTATATAAGTGTAGATCCGGTTCACCTGTTAAATTACAAACGTTTTGTACATAACACACAATATAATGTTTTATATTACATACATATTCATACACGCATCTAATAAAAACTAATATAATTCATTTAGATAAAATATAAGTTAAGTTTAATAAAAAACCAGTACATTAATATATGTTCTTTTTCATTTTCTTTTGAAAATCTATATATCTAATTAATAAATATCAGTGTTTTCAAAACTGGACCAACCCGATGGTTAGACCAAGCTCGACAATGAATCAGTCACGTAACCAGATTGGATCTAATAATTGATCTGGCCATGAATCAGTCAAGTAGTCATAATAAATATTATTAAAACTATCAAAAATCTATAAACCAGTCATGTAACCAAAAAAATAAGTAGCATTTATAATGTTTAGATTTGATGTTTATTTATATTTTATATATCATATATATTAGTTTTACTCTTAAAATTCTATATTTAATCAGATTAATGAACCAAGTTTGATCTGGTCAAATCATATTGAACCATGATCCAAATAATTATTCGGTTCAATTTTTCGTCTGTTTTTTTTTTTAAATTATAAAGTTCTACCATATATATTAGCATTTATGCATAATATTTTAACCACACTTTTCGATTTGATAAAATCTACACTGATATATGTTGCATACCGTATATCCGGGTTATTTATGAAAAGTAAATTAATTATTTTTAAGTTATCTATACTATTAAAACACAAGGCCCTTTTTTCAGGTGCCCTTGATTTTCAATATTAATTACAACCAAATGCCACTACATTATTTTTTAAATTATGCTTTATATTAAAGCGGTTTTACCCGATTAAAGTGGTTTTGACCCGATTTTAATAAATTGACAAAATCTTTTAAAGCTATGCTTTTTAGTAAATGCAAAACTAATTTGTGAAGTAAAATTAACAATATTTTTTAAGTTTCAAGTGTCCATACCACTTCCATCGATTTCTGACACAATATTTAACCTATGATCATTACTTTGTTATCTTCCTTATCCCACAAAAGACAGAGCTTCGTACCAATGCATCCACAAAAATTAATTAGAATTCTTGATTAGTCTATTTGAGCGTAAGAGTGCATCAACAATTTGATTTTGTAACATTTATATTTATAAGCATAAGGGGATGTGTCTATTAAACAAATGATTACCAGAATTATCTTCGTCAACAAGAGTGCATCAACAATTTGATTTTGTAACATTTATATTTATAAGCATAAGGGGATGTGTCTATTAAACAAATGATTACCAGAATTATCTTCGTCAACCTTCTCTTGCTTATACAACCAGCAGAGATATGAAGAACATCACTTGATCAAGTAAGTGAAACAACAAAAGACAGAGCTTCATAATTTTAAAAAGTATTTGC